ACACTAATGATTTGTTCTATCAACTAGAAAAGAAAATTTTTTGTCATAAAAGTTGATCGAAATCAAATCCAAATGATTCCTGAACAAATCTTCCTATTATCATACTCTCATTTCTTTTCTAAAGAGAATGTGGGTATGAACATAGCATTGGATCTTGTCTTCAATCAAACCGTGACCAAAGCTCATCATATCGACATCCAATCTAAATAACATGATTATTTTTGTTTTGAATATGAACCATAAAAGTATAACGAGAGTTAAAAGAACAGTTATGAGTTCAAAATAAAAACTGAAATATTCACAAATTTAGATGTATATTATGGTGAATAGGCAAGCATTGACCTATCTTCAAATCAAGAAGAGATTAAATTGAATTCAAGCGTTCCATTTCTCCTATGAGAACAGTCGACATGTTTTCTAGACCCATGATTCATAATCAACGCTTGGTCTAAACTTAACAAATGATTCAAATTTTTTATTCTTACTAATGACTGCTAATACGCTTCATCTTGATTTATATTCATTGATTCAAGATGATCCATAGAATATTATAGCGATTTGTCAAAAAATAGTGTTAGTAATACAAGAATAGATTCTACAAAATAAATTCCTATTGATATTAGAGTGTGGGTGTGCATGCTTTCTTCAATATCGCACACTCAATCCTTATAAACCAGAGGACAACCTGATATGTTCAGCCGTTCTAGAGATAGTCTAGACCAACTTTCTCATGTTATACACCTATTAGATAAAGGGTTCTCTAGAACTAACTTCATCTTATAATGTTAGGTTTTTGTGTTGAATAACTTTTAACTAATACAAAAGAAAAAATGCGTCAAAGAAATATTTTGTATCAATTTCAGTTTGGAGTTGTTTCAAACATCGACTCATATTATAAAAAATTTTTAATTGGAAAGAACTCATGAACAGCATCTTTTCAACAAAAAAATAAGCCATGAAATTCTAATTCTAATAAACGACTTTTCGAAGATCATTGTTTCCCTAATAAACCTCGAAAACAGGAATGAATATCTTGTTGTAAGCCTTTACAATAGAAGTCATGTTGAAGTAAACATCTTCATAAGAAAACTTAGTATAAAGTACTTGTGAGAATCTTTTATTATTTTTCGATGTCATTCGTATGCTAAATTTAGTATAACAGCTTCGATGCAAGAAAGTAATTGGCACTTATCTCAGAGAAAATCCTAGTATTCTTCGAGAAGAGAACTTCAAATGTTTTGCTATTGCTGAACGAAAAAGACTTAATGTTATGCTATCGCGAAACTTTTTTCCTTATTTTGGACAGTCATAAATTTCAAAAGCAGAATATTATTGGATTTTCAATACAATTCCTCAATAAAAGTTGATCACCAAACCTTATTCAACACATTGTCTAACTTTTCGTTGCTTTTTAATTTGGATATTAGAGAGACGAGATCAGTTTGTAGTTAAAATTCTATCAGGAACTTTGCCATTTATCGAAGGGCAAATATCGACTAAGAATATGAAACGTTGAATAACAAAGTATTGTTGTTTTGAAGACAGGTGGGTGTCTGGGTTGTCGATGTTGGTGTATGTATTCTTTCAACTGACACCGACACCTACACGTTATGAAGGACCTAAGCAAGTATTATTTTGTGAAAAAAAGGGAAGAACATTGTTTATATACAAACGTACATCGATTGAATCAAGTTAATATACCTATAATGATGTCTTTTAAGTTGTTGTGATACATAAATATTTCAATTTGCTTCTAATGAAGAAAAAAAATAATTAATCCTTGCAATATTAGCATTTTTTCTTTGTGTCAAAAAGACAGAATGATTGAAAAAGTGTACATAGGGTTATTTTTGCTTTAGCTTTCCTTTGTATTCATGAAAGATTTACATTACTAAACACACATTGAAGCTTAAGCAATCAGCAAGTTCCATCATCATCATCGTTTTAAGAATATTAGTTTCATCATTACTCTTTCAAACAAAAAAACTATCGCGTCACATATGAGTTTCTAGGGATGTTTCGAAATTCCTTTCCTTTGTATAGGACGCGCATTGTTTGTCTCGAGATTAAATGTCATTTCATCAATGAATGTCTCCTGTTGGTTCGTTGATTATTGATGAAGAACTAAGCTATGTTAGTAATGTTATCTTATTTATATCTCATTATTATTTTGTATGTAGCTATCATTGTGAATAAATATATGTTTCACTAACGATCGTAATTCATTTGTTCGAATTCAGAATAGCTTTCGGAAGTACAGTCCTATTACATACCAGCATAGGTCTTTTCATGATTAATTATGAACATTCTCAGGCAATATTGCACCAGCATATTAGTACCTGATACGAAGAACAATCAAGAACTACATGTTCACTTTTCTTCATCCAATGCAGTAATAATCAGATTCTAAATCATATTTCTGAACTATTTCGAATCGCTTGAAGCTCCTTATGAACAATCGTCGTGTTTAAATAAAAAACAATACAATCATTATTACTTTCTTTCACTATTAAGAAAACGATTTATGCTTTCATGAGTAAATCATGAATCAATAGTGATTATTCGTTAATAATACTTATCAAAAACCAATAGTTCAAACTCCTGAGAATTAGTTTTGACTAGTTCATACTTATGAAAGCGATCTCGTCATATTAGAGAACTTGAAGAAGAAAAGTTTTCACCAAAATGAAGTGATGCTCGTTTGTCTGCTATTATTGCTAATACATGTAACATTCTAAAGAGTAGATTTGAGATGTTATCTATAAAAGAGAGATATCGCTTGAGAACGTTGATGTTCTTTTTATTGGATCAAAATTCTTTTCATGCAACATGTTAAGTGAAGAAAATAGGATAGAGAAAGAGGAATAGATTTGAAGATTTTATTAGACTTTTGTAATATACAAGGTAATAAAAAATATTTTTTTTTTTCTATTGACTCTATTCAAGATCAAATAATAAAAATTCAGCGTTGATTGAGCCAATATTTTCAATCGAAAGTTCATTATTGGATTGATCACCATTGATAAATGCTCCATCACCTTCGTGAAGAACAATATCTTGTTCAAGACGAATCTTAGTAGCATTGATATTGCATGTCTTATATCCACTTCTCATAATGAAATTAATGTATCCTTTACTTCTCTTGAAATAGTATTTTATTGAATGATTTGGTTGTAAAATAGTTGCATACATAGATAATGGTGCATGAATAGGAATACTTTAGTCTTGATGATTGTGAATATCATCAATTAATAGATAAAGTTTATTTAATTTATTTTGGTCAGATCATTTCTTTGTTGTATAAGATAGCTCGAGATGAGATTGACTTGGTTTGGCCCATATTTGAATAAAATGTACCATAATGACTTATTGACATTGTATTCAGAATGTTCTATACCTATTCCAGCTGATATAAATTGAACTTCACCACGATGAATAATTTTTATATTTCCCATTGAATCTTTATGTTCTAATTTCCCTTCAACAATCTAAGAGAAGATTTCATATTCTCGATGAGGATGTGTACCAAATCCTGTTGATGGTTGAACTCAATCTTTATTAAGTACACGTAAACAATCATAATCATTTGAATATCGTGGATCATGATAAGAAGCACATGACCAAGTATAATAAGTTTTTAACCATCCAAGATCGGCATTACCGCATTCATTCGATGGACGGATAATGGTTTACAGTTTTGATGACATTATACAATCAAATAAGAATAGAAGAACTATATATGATCGAATCAATAAACAGTCAACATTTTTATAAGAGACTCTGCTTATGTTTTGTCAGAATGACGTAGCAAAAAGAAGAACATGTGCAAGCGTGACAAACCTGAAAGAAAACATTCAACGTGTGACTTAGTTTCTCATTCTCTTTCTTCCCGTCATAACAGAAAGCAAAGAACGCAAAAATATTTTCTTCTCCTGTGTTTTTTTTCGTTCTTACTCAGCGTAAGATGACAACTACTCTTCAGTATTTCATACAAATACATGGTTAAACGATCTTTCATTTTGACAGTCTTCTGGTACATGAAAATACTTTTATCGAATTGCATAGGTTACTTATAATGATCTTGTCTTGAAATAGCGTTGTATATTCAAAATATGAAGATTTTGATTCTCATATGTTGTAATGAAAAATAAGTATTTCCGATTTTTTAACTTCATAAGTAATTGGTTGAAACTTGTTAAATATAAATAAAACATCCATATGTATGGAAATACGAAGAACAGGTTGGAAAACATTTATCATTAAAACTGGCTTTTATCCTCGTTGAAACGTTTTTCAATTCTATGTTTGGTAAGAATTGTCAACAAACCGTCAGCGAATAGAGTTTATGATCATGACATCATCACCGAGAATAAATAGCAGACAGAAAAAAACAGACTATCTCATTATATCTTTTCTTGAGATATGTTGATCTATCGTTATCTTTGAGCTTTACTCTCGTGTTACATGAATAATCATGAATGGAAGCATTGTTTTTCAACCAATAGTCAACTACCGCGTTTTTTTACCACACTGTGTTTTTTCCCACTGAAATACCCACACAGTATTCTATATAAGTCTATGCTGAAATGAAAACTTGCTGATGACTTTTTTCTTCTCTGTTCTTCGGACATTTTTCAAGAATCAAATGTAAGAGAATGTTTATTTTCTTCAGAAGTCCATTGCAATGAAGGAACCAAATGATTATTTTGCTACTAATTCTGTATTCAATAGATGTCACCTTTTTTTTCAGATTACAAATCTTTCACATATTGTTTGTAATCAATAGTATTCTATTTTTCAATAAAAAAGTGAGTGACTCTTCTCTAATGTGAGTTGATAATGGTATCCGATATATTTCAAAGACTGAGTATCGACTATTTAATTTGTCATCTTACTTACTTTATAGTATTGATGAATAATGTGTTTTTTTTTATAGACTCTGATTCACAAACGAATTAAAAAAATGCCAAAAAATAAAAATCGAAAAGGTGAGTTTTTACATGTCTACTAATGGCCGTTACGCTGCTAGTTTATTTCACAATTATCTTTTCTTAGCTCGACGCGACTCGAGACCAGCAACAGCCAACAACAATGCGAATGCAAATACAGCATCCGCCTCTATCCCCGCAATATCAATAGTAGAACCTCCCACATTACTTTCATCTGAATTGTCTACTGTATCGCAGTCAGCATCTGATCCTCAAATTCGAGAAACAACACTATCTGAAACATCCACTATGCCAAAATCAGCAGCAGATTCTCAAGCACCACCTCCAGTTCAACCATCTTCTATAGCAAAATCAGCATGGGATCCTCCCATACTACCTCCAGCTGAAACGTCTACTGTACCGAAGTTGACATCAGGTCCTCAAGTGCCACCTTCATCTCAATCATCTGCTACACCAAAGTCGGCATGGGGTCCTCGAGTACCACCTCCAGCTGAAACGTCTACTGTGCCGAAGTTGACATCAGGTCCTCAAGTGCCACCTTCATCTCAATCATATGCTACACCAAAGTCGGCATGGGGTCCTCGAGTATCATCTCCGTCAGAACCGGCCGTTGTATCAAAACCGATTCCAGGTCCACAAGCACAGCCTCCATCTCAGTCATCTGCTGTACCAAAGTCGGCATGGGGTCCTCGAGTACCACCTTCAGCTGACACGTCTACTGTACCGAAGTTGACATCAGATCCCCAAATGCTACCTTCATCTCAACCATCTGCTCTGTCCAAGCCAGTATGGGGTCCTCCATCTCGAAATTCACATCCAACAGAACGTTCTTCTAGCGCCTTTCCGATGATGAACGAAGAAAATAGAAGTTCATCTGTAAACAAAGCTACTGCCTTATCTAAAGAACCTCGCTCTCAAAGTGTGCTTTCAGCGAGACGTCGCCGATTTTTATGCTCGGCAGTACCTGATTCCGCTGTCTTGTCTCCAATTCGTCGTCCGGATGATGGTGGCTCGAGTGGTGAAAAAATATCGGTGTATACCAATCATTTTCCTGTGCATATTGATAATGTTACCGTCAATCAGTACGATATCGAGATCTTTACATTTGGTCGTGATGGTAAATTATGTGTGGCACGTAAAGATGAACGTTGGGAAACTATGCAATGCATTGCAAATAAAATGACAAATTTTCCAATTGTATGGTAAGTGTATCCATCTTCGAAATGATTTGAACTATTTATGATTATCTTTGTAAGGTATGACGAAGGCAAAACATTGTACACGCGAGCATTGTTGACTGATTTTACAGAACCTATTCAGATTAAATTGAAAAGAGGCGATGAAACGAAAACATTTCAACTGAACATATTAAATCTTGTTCGACAAGAAAAAATTTCAAATATTTTTGATTTTATTCAAAAGAAAACAATTCTTCGTCCACGTGAGACAGTTCGAATCATTGAAACTCTTTTCAAACAACGTGCTCGCAATGATCTCGTCTGTGTTCGAAACCAATTTTACAATCGTAATCAAATCCTTGATGATCTCAGTTAGTCTTTTCGACAAAGTTTTTCATGATAATATCGATCTTATTTTTCTTTTTTTACAGAGGATGGCCGTGGCATGGCTAAAGGCTTTTATCAAGCATTGTTTCTTACACGATGTGGACCAACACTCAACGTCAATCTAACATTCACCTGCTTTTATATGCCATTAAATTTTGTTCATTTTGCTTGTAAATATTTACGAAAAGATATTACCAATGGATTTACAGAATATGAAGCAAAAGCATTCGCAAAAATAGTTCGAGATCTTCTTAGTATGTTCATTGAATCTGTGATCTTTTTCTCATTTAGAAATATTTGTTTATTTTATAGTTGAAACCGAACATACAGGCCGGATAATTCGCTATAAACTGCGTCGTTTTGGTCTTCCAGCCGATCAACTTTTGTTTACTTGTGGAGAAGTCGATGAAAATCTAGCAGATACTTCTTCTGTTCCAAAGATCAGTGTGGCAGAATATTTCGAACAAAAATATCAAAGAAAACTCCTCTATCCACATTTACCCTGTATTGATGCTACAGCTGGCATAAATAAGAGAGCCAATTGGTTACCGATGGAAGTGGTTAAGGTTAGTTTTTTCCATAGAATGTAGTAATATCGAAGAAAAAAAACCGTGACGGACTCTTTGAATGTTTTATTCTTGTCAAAAAATGAATTGAATATCAAAAGAGACAGTAAGTTTGATGTTCATTGATAGTACAATTCATCTAAAAGAATTTTCGCCGACAAATAAGATGATTCTGTTGATATGATGATGAATTTCTGCTCTAATTCTCTCATTTGATTTCAGGTTGTCGAATGGCAACGTTCACTAAAGCCATTAGATGCAACACAGCGAGCTCTTGTTTCGGGTAAAGCTATTATTAAACCATTCGAACGATACAATCATATAATGAATATTATGCGCACACGTGATTTTGAGACGGATATTTATCTTAAAGAATTGAATATTCGTGTAGACAACCGTGAAATGCTTGAAATTAGAGGTATTTCGTTTCAGTTTCTGTTTAACCCTGAAGATGTAATTTTTCTTTCTTGTTTAGCTCGAATTCTTAAACCTCCTTCAATTCACTATGGTACTCGTCCAGGTCAAAATGAGGCGATCGAACACGTCAATGTTGGCAAATGGAGAATTCGTAATTGGTTTTATACGGCACCTGATATTCATAATTGGGGTCTCATCTATTTTGGTTGTCAACCTAATCAAAGAATTCATGATATTCTCAACACATTCAGTAGACAGTTACCAGAAGTAAACTATTTTATTGCAAATTATGATAAAGGACTTTTTCCTATTTGATTCTTTTTAGTTACTTAAACTTAAAGGTTTTATGATTAAATCAAAATTAACTATAACAATGAAACCCGATCGACAACAAGACATTGAAAAGGCTTTGACTGATGCCAGTAAAAATCGTTGGCAATTAGCTATTGTTGTGCTCAATACTAGATCTGATCAGGTTTATGATTATGTTAAACAATTAGGCAATCAACAATTAGGTTTAAGAACACAATGCATCGACATGGAAGCATTGACGAAAAATATTGACAATCTCAAAATGTGTAAGTAACAATGGGGGGAAAATCCTGTCTTCTTATTTTGATGCAAAAAAAAAACAAGAGTGATTGAAAAGACTCTGTCGTATATATAATGTATTCGATATCTGTTTAGATGTGGATAACTTGAGTCAGAAGATCAATAGTAAACTAGGTGGTATCAATAGTGTTGTCAATACAAAACTGACTTTAAGTCATTCTTCCAAAGAAGATCTTTTTATGTTCTTTGGAGCTGATGTAAGTGTTCATATTGATAGGATTCGATGAGCAAAACATCGTCTTCTCGTTTAGGTAACTCATTCGACTTGTTCCACAGATCGTCCATCAATCGCAGCAGTAGTTGCTTCACGTGATCCGACTAATAGTCTTTATGCTGCTCGACTTTGTGAACGTAAGTTTGAGATGATTTCTTAACTATCATGATCGATAATATTTCTATAGAATATCCGAAAAAGGGTCGTTGTTCGATGGAAATTATCAAAGAACTAGACCAAATGGTTGCTGATTTGATTCGAGTTTTCGCACGTACATGTGGTGGTCGTCTTCCAAATAAAATCGTCTTTTATCGAGATGGTGTCGACGAAGGACAATATCAGAAGGTACTCGATAATGAAGTGAACAAAATCAAGACCGCTTGTCGAAGTAAGTCTCCAAAGAAGAAAACAATTATTCTATAAATAGATTTATTTCTTCATATCAGTTGTGTATGGTGACCGTCCATTGCCAAAATTAACATTTATTGTTGTGAAGAAACGACATAATACGCGTTTCTTTCTCTATGATGGTAAGCAGACGATAAATGTTCAGGCGGGCACTGTGATCGATCAAGATATTACTCATCCATCCCAATTTGATTTTTACCTCTGCTCGCAAGCAGCCATGTAATTTTATTGAATTCTTTCGTTTTCTCCTCTATTAAATAGATTGTCGACTGTTCTAGAATGGGTACATCACGACCAACTCTTTATCATGTTCTGCATGATGATAATTGCTTTAGTAGTGACGATGTACAACAATTAACTTATTGGGTAAGTGAAAATTTGAACGAATTCGAATGATTCAAGATGATATCTGTTTCAAGTTATGTCATACGGATATGCGTTGTACGAAATCAGTTTCGATTCCATCACCTGTTCATTATGCTCATCTAGCGGCATATGGTTCTCGTGCATTGAAATTCGATGATGATCGTGAATCAGACAAGTATGAAGTGTTGTCGTTTTATCTTCAAAATAGATTTATTGGTCTATACTTTTAGTTTTGATGATAACAATGATGAGGAACCTGCAAGTTATTCAATAGACGATATTAAGACTAAACTAATGATACTTGACTCAAAAGTTGTCGATGATATGTGGTTTATATAAATCCTTCTTCACGAACATTTGTTAAATTTTATTAATAATCTTGAACACAAGCAGAATTGCTGCTCCATTGTGAATTTAGTTTACCTTCTATTTAAGGCATTGTAACTAAATGACACAATAAATTTTTTTCTCTAAATGTCTTGTTATGCTGTTTTCTTAGCATTTTTCTTCATATTTACGAGTGACTGTCTTGTACTAATAAGATTTAGAGAGCAAATGTGTTGAATCAAGCTTTTGCACAGAGAACTGATGTTCGTCTATGCTCGCTCAAGACTTTTCAATCAACTTTGATCGAAAAGCTATCATCTCAGGGTGAATATAGCAAATGAAGATGATGATCTATTCCAGTCAATCGAATTTTTCAAAGGGAATTGAATAGTTAAGCCTCGTATGCAAATTGTCTATATTTAATCGTTAAATTTATGTAATTGTAGTTCTTTCATAAATCTTCGATTGAGAAAGATTCTATTAACAAAGCCTGTTTACCAATGATCAGTAACACTGTGTTCGATCGTACCATCATAATTTTACATCGATCTTATTGTTTTCATTATATGTTGCATATATAAGTTGAATCACACAACTAATTTTTTCTAGAACTCCATTACCTAAAATAAGTGAGATCTGCTGAAAGAAATTTCAAAGAACGATTTTTAAGCCATCTAATGATGCGATATTTAACATCAAGGATATTTTTTGATTGGTTGTTCTCATAAAAGATGATAATTACTCTAGAATCGCTTTCAGATATGACCATTCAACTATGATGCTTAGTTCAATGTGAAAAGAAGCAAAAATGAATTGATCAAATATATTGAAATGAAAGTTAAAGAAATACACAAAGAATTGATAGGTTAGAAAGTACGAAACAAACCACCCGAAGGTTTCTTGAATATACGAAATAAAAAAGGACATCTACGAATGGGGATTATGATGGATCTGAACAGATCTTCTTCACGGATATGACGTTCAAGATATCCCAGCGTCCATTAACTTTATTTGCAAATGTGATTGGTGATGTATTAGATAGAATTATGTTCGTTAAGGCATGGACATCAAATATGTGAAGAAAAGCCTGATGATAAGCTTTCTGTAATGCCCTCACGAGGGAAGGCCTCCAACTGTCAAATCACTTTTTGATCGAGTATATGCTTATATGATAGACCTCAATGAGCTATTAAATACTCTACAATGGTTTGATTTCTCAGGCCTCCTGAGCAGAGATATGCGATTATAAGTATAAATAGTTTTACTAATGTATTCGATATGTTGGCTAAATATGATCCGGTCCGGCTCATATTTATATCAGTACTAAGGCACTTTGTACTGATTAAGATCCCAAAGTTTCAAGATAAATTATTGTTTTTTATCGAAGATATGAATCTGTTTCTTCTACCAATCGATTGTTAAAAACTAGCATGTATTTTTGTTCAATGATGCCAGTATTGATTCATCTGATATTTTCAGCATACATTCATTTCATAGTGTGTACGCATGGGAAAATGTTAGCTTGTTTGTTGGTACTTTAGTTAATAAAAAGTAGTGCCATGAATTCATATACTTTTCATCATTTGATCTATTTTCAGTGACATGCTATTAGACCAGAAAAGAGTCAACAAAAACAAAGAAAATATTCAATGTATAATATACAGTCATGATAAACTATACGTAGAAATCTCTGTAAAATTGAGTTTAGTATATTAGTACCGTATGTTCCATCACCAAAGTACACGGATTCATATTTCTAATTTTTATTAACTAAAGAACCAACAAATAAGTTAACATTGCCACATGCAAACTCACTATGAAATGAATGTATGCTGAAAATATCAGATGAATCAATACTGGCATCATTGAACAAGAATACATGCTAGTTTTTAACAATCGATTGGTAGAAGAAACAGATTCATATCTTCGATAAGAAACAATAATTTATCTTGAAACTTTGGGATCTTAATCAGTACAAAGTGCCTTAGTACTGATATAAATATGAGCCGGATCGGATCATATTTAGCCAACCTATCGAATACATTAGTAAAACTATTTATACTAATAATCGCATATCTCTGCTCAGGAGGCCTGAGAAATCAAACCATTGTAGAGTATTTAATAGCTCACTGAGGTCTATCATATAAGCATATACTCGATCAAAAAGTGATTTGACAGTTGGAGACCTTCCCTCGTCAGTCGAAAAACATATCGTTACTTCAAGTTGAATTTTTGTTCGCTCTATTTTGATGAACATGATCTATTTTCTAACAGAATTCAATAATATTTTTTCAATTTTGAATTACTCTTTTTTTTATCAGAATTTGTTCTTGAAAACTGTTTATCATTTGAATTCTTCACCATTTATGAAATTCATTTAAAAACGTAAGTTAGTTTAATATTATCATTAATATTTTTTTTGATTTCTATACTTTTACCATGAATGTCTAAACTGATAAAGTATCTTTTTTTTTGCTCTAAATAGAAAACTTGCTATATTATTATGTTCTTTTGTTTCCTTTCGATGACTACTCCACTTTTCGGAATAATTTTCTAGAATACTGTTTCGGTTCTTAGCATGTTATCCTTTTTTCTCCTTCGTGTATTGATCAGATGTGATCCAAAATAAGAATTAATAATAAAAAGAAGAAAATAATGTAATTTTATGACCAATGAGTGACTCATCTTTTCCACTACATGTTATTTTGAAATTATAGTACAGAATGATACAGAAACAAATCACATTTTTATCTAAATTATTTTTAGGTGATAACAACAGCCGACAATACAAACAATATAAATTTACGATATCAAAAAGTCGACAAATTGGCTGCAGCGACTGTGGCCGAAGTTGTTAAACCAAAAAGGTTTTAACTGACCGTCAGAAACATTCCACACCCATCGATATCAAATTCTTACATCGGAACTTCAGGGGGCCCGGACCTGAGACCAATACGACGAACTTTGGTCGGTACTAGTCAAAATAAGGAATTGAAGTTTTTATCACTTCAAAATAAGCTTGTTACAGAAGTGTCAATAATACAAGAAAACCATAAGATATTTTTCAAAAAAAAATGTACTATCATAACTAGTGTACTGAAGTGCTAAAAAGAAATAGAGAGAACAATATGACAAAAGGACAAAGAAGAGACCGAATAATTATTTTTTTTTTATCAAAGTTTATTTGTTATACACAGAAGTTTTCAATAAAACCGCTATCATCATTCAAATATGTTTGATTATAAACAAGCAAAAAAAGATGTTAATTTGTAATATATCAGAATTAATGCAAACAATGTCGAATAATCAAACTAAAATAATTGTCATGACTGATGAGTAAGATACGACATCAACGTGTCTCAGCATTGGATGTAGTACAGATTAATAATCATGTTTCAAAAAATAGTATATATAAATTTGCAGTTGAGTTTCCGACTTCCTGTCATCCTTGCAGAAAGTTCTTCATAAGAGAAAAAAAAATATCTTCTGCTCAATGAATAAGCATAATTACATAGACTGTGACACGACAGGAAACGATTAATAACAAGATAAACTAGAAGCAAATGGTCCGCAAAATTAATTCTTACTGCATTCAAGAGAAATATAGCAATACAGAATTATAGGCTTCAATAATCTGTAGTGATAGAGCATATGTGAACATTAAATTGAAGCAAATAATAATGCAATGAAACATAATTAATAATTATGCAGTCACATAAATCTTATAATAATATCGATATTTCTTTGAAATGTATAATAAACACTCGAAGAAGCCTTCATGAATGTTTAGTTATATATAAAGTAGAATCTATTCCATGTAAAACAATTAAACACAAAGTTCCTTAAAAAAAAAACAGGTGAAAACATCATTTCTGATTTTTGCTTTCAATTGGTGACCAGATTTGGCATAATAAAATATCAAAGTAGAATTTTAAAAATTTTGATAAACTTCTTTGAAATGATGAAGAAGCGAGAAAATATAACTACATATAATCTTGAATGTTCATTACTCAAAATAAAATTTCAGTACAACGGCCATAACTTCATAAAAAAGATCTAAGGATTCTTATCCTTTTGAAATTTTTAATATCTCATTAGGAAACTCCAAACACATAAAGTTATTGCTATTGAACTGATTGTTTCATATAACGGATGAATCCGTTTATATTGTTTTTCTAAATGAAGACAAATATCTTGCGCATACAAAGACTTGTTACCAGATACTAATTATAGTGCTTTGTCGCTCTATCTTTTGTCTTCAATTGCTATTCTATAATAACAAGACGCTATTTTGTATATCAATTCATTTTTTTTAGACAATCATGTTGTTTTATTATTTTACACAAATCTATTACAGTAAATTTTTGGCTTTTCTTTTGATAACGATTGATTTGTCAAAAATGATAAAAAAAACGAAAGTTTACGTTTACACGCACAAAAAAGAAATGAATAATGAGCATAAAATTCGTACATTCTTATAAATCAAAATAGGAATGATTATTTTCTTTTTAGTTTTGATTATTGTTTACAAAATACAACATGAACTTTTCTTTTTTCCTTTATGTGTATGTCGATCTGGTGGACCACTGCTAGTTACACGACGTTCATCAAGTGTATCAAACCAATTATCAACAGCACCCATTAGTACTTTGACAACATACTTTCAAAGACGAAAGAATTTTTGTTTTTGATTAAAACAAAATGCTTTACTTACATCACCAAAACTAAATGGAAAATCTTTTCCTTGTGCTTTATGAATTTCTTCTCTTTCCGATCTATAATCATCAGCAACATCAAGATTAGGTATTTTCTTATCCCAATTATTAAGATAACTATTAATAATCATAATAATAATGAAAGATTATAAATATTTAAAAAAAAAGTGTAAAAGTCTCTTACCCAATAGATTCATTATCATCTGTACAAGCAATAATTGTAACTGGAATGCGATTAATTGGATTACGTTCATGACGAAGTGCATGTTCTAATGTTTTTATATCCTGTTGTCCACTATCATTTGTTGGTATACCATCTGTAGCAATCAATATTAATAATTTACGTTCTTGAACTTCAAGCCGTTTTTCTTGTAAAACTTGTCGAAGTATACGAACAATTGGCGTTGGTCCTATGATAATATTATAATTAACAAAAAGAAAAAAATTGTTTTTTTTATTTTTTTTTGCATATTTTCGTTTACCAGCTGGTGGAATGGCAAATACAGGCACGAGTTGTTCAACATTTTTAACATTACGCATTGGCTGACGATTTAAAAAGAAAATGTCTAAAATTAATAAATTATATTATTATGAAACTTTAGTTTTTATTTTATTTTTTTCATTTACCAACACCATTTGGATCAAAACTTCATTATATATAGAAAGAAAAATATCAATTTTAATATATAAAAATAAAGCTAACTCACACAGAAGCAATATCAACTACAATTGAAACTGTTTGTCGAAGTTCATCCCATCTTGTTGGATTACGATCGTATGGACCAGTTATATCACCTAATTTAATTCAAATACTCATTATATATAACAGTTTTTTTTTATAAATAACAAGCGCGACAGAATAAACGTCTCCTGAAGTATTCTCTCAATATCGCAGTCAAAGCTTATTGCCATGTGCAGCTCGTTGAGCTCTGTAGCTATGGCTTAATAGTCTTTTTTAAAGGTCCACGGTTCAATTTTTAGTTTATTTAGATCTATTCATTGGAGTTTTAGGCTAACGAAAAACAATAGACACCAATCTTGTAGTTAGGGGAAGTAAAGTTTGTGTGTGAATTTGAATAAGGCTTTTTATTTGTGAATAGTGCGTAAAAAGAAATCATTTGAATTTAAATGAATCTTATTGTACATCATGAAAAAGAACGCACTTAGTTATTATTCATTCTATCATGTTTTTATATTTGTACAAAGCTAGACAAAAAAAAAATGTTGAACTGTTTTTGAAAAAAAAAAAAATTTTGAAAATTGAACTTGTCGTAAAACTTGTGATATGTTTTTGTAGATCATTGAATTATGAATCTTGTTTTCAAAAAAGGTTAAAGCACGGCGGCTTTTTGAAAAAAATACTTAGAGATACATTTATTTTTGCAGAACCATTTTCTTACCAAGTGGTGTATTCATCGATCCAGAATCTAAATTGATTAAAAAAAAGAAATTATTTGGCAAAACAAAAAATTTCATTCAATATCATTGTTTTCTTACCATCAACAATAAATACGATCTCATATCCTTCTAATCCTCTTAATCTTGTTGCAAATTCTCGATTTATTTCATATCGATCAACTAGATATTGAAATTTTCTCATACGTTCATCATTTGTTTCTTGTAATGAATTATAACCAACTTGATTTGGTTGTGATGATAATACAGGATATTGTTGTGGATACATACTTCATATAATGTTAGTTGCTACGTATTAAAAAAAAAGAAATTTTCATGGCGTCTTTTTCTTCTTTGCCTTTTTATTGACTTTCTATTTGAAGTCAAAGATGAGTTGCTATTTGAATAAGAAAAGAGAAAAAAAAACGATCTAAAAATAGTTTGTCTTTTTAATAGATGAATTATATTGATACGTTTATTAATCAACAAAAGGAAAAAAAAAGAAAAGAGAACATAAAGAATAATGCCTGACATTGAATGTAAGTAAGCTCCTTTATATTAACACGAATATGATGTTGATGTGAGGAAAAAAAATGGAAGACAAGCATAAAAAAAACAGCAACACTCAATTGTGAATAATAGTATTGTGTATTCAGTTTTGTTTTCTTTTTTGCTTTTCAGCACGCAAAAAAGTGAAAATCTATTGAAAAGACACATGCAGATGAACTTCCATCTGTTAGAATAGTGTATATAAAAAAATATATATAAATATATGTGATGGGGTGCATACAAAAAAAAAGAAAGAAGAAACCAATTGTCATGCGTAATATATCACTAAATATATAATCGACTGCAATAAAATTATGCATGTATTTCACAGTTAGATCATAATGATTAAAAATTTTGATTTGTCGGCCATAAAAAATTTAACAGCCAAGATAAAGGCCACCAAATCGAAGATGAATCTGTATGACATGAAATTAAAATTTATTGACAATAATGAATATGAAATCAAGCAGTTAATAGTGATTAATTAATATTTAATAATGTTTCGATATCTCCGCTATTTTTTTTTTTGTTATCAAAAGAAAAATATTCGATAGAAAGATTTTATCGTCGTTTGCGGAGTTATCCAAATAAGCTTTGTTATAAGATAATGCAATGCCACTTCTTACGATTAGAATCGGCACTTGCTGTTGTTCGTCCATAACCATCTGTCATTACTTTCTTTTCATCTAAATCATCAAACCAACTATCAACACCACCCATTAGAATTTTAACAACATACTTCATAAAAATAGAAAATCAATCAATCAAGAAAAAGAAATGAAAAATAAAAAATCTAAGCGCATTGTTGCTTACATCACCAAAACTGAATGGAAATTGTTTTCCTTGTCGTGCTTGAATTTCTCGTTTTTCATTTCTATAATCATCGACAACATCAAGATTAGGAATTTTCTTATCCCAATCATTTAAATATCCAATACAATCATCATCATCTATTATAAGAATAAATATTCATCGAATATAATTTATTTTTTTTGTTTGTTTTTTCTTACCTGTACAAGCAATAATTGTTACAGGTATACGATTAATAGGTTTACGTTCATGTTTAAGAACATATTCAAATGAACGAATATCTCGATGACCTTGATTATCAGTTGGTACACCATCTGTAGCTAAAAGTATCAATAATTTACGTTCTTCTATTTCATTTTGTTTATCATGTAGTACACGTCGAAGAACTGGAACAATTGGAGTTGGACCTTGAGAAAAATAAAAATATTTTTGTTGTTTTTTTTTTTTTGTCTTTTGCAAAAATTGCAATTATTAAACATACCAGCTGGAGGTAAAGCAAAGACAGGTATTAATTCTGATGAATTACGAACATGAAACATAGGTTCACGATTAAGAAAATAAACATCAACACCATCCGGATCAAGAACACTTGCAATGTCAACAACAATTGATACTGTTTGCTTTAATTCATCCCCTATGACAACAAAAAAAAAAAAAAAAGTTCTTTTCAAAAAGCAAAAAGTCTCAAATATAAATTCATACATCGAGATGGTGCTTTATCAAAAGGCCCCGAAAGATCACCTAAGAAAAAATTAGAACAATCCATTTAATATATTCAAAAAAAAAAAGGAAAAACGTCAATCATAAACTAATTACCAAGTGGTGTATTCATTGAACCTGAATCATCACAAATAAATACAATTTCATATCCTTCAAGAGCACGTAATTTTTTAGCAAAGGTATAATTAACTAAATATATATAATATATATATATAAAATAATTCAATTATATAATTTAAAAATATATATATATAGCTCACTTTCATAACGATCAACAAGTTGTTGAAAATCTGCCATACGTTCGTCACTAGTTGTATGATAGTTTGGCAATGAATGACGATATTGTTGTTGATTTAATTGCATATCAGTATTATATGAGGGTGGAGCAGATGGTAGTGATGGATATTGTTGAGGATACATTTTTAGTTTATGTTATATGATAATATTGTAAATATTTACTATTCAATATTAACTTGATACATTATTTATATTTTGTTTTTTCTATAAGAAATCTGAAGATGCAGAAAAAATGACGAAGCCAATAGAGAATATGTGCATTTCCTTTGAAGCGGAAAAGAATAACGTCAAAGAATGAGGTCGCATTTATTTCAATGTAAAATCTAATTGTCACTAGATAGAGTCAACTGTCATTTCTCGTTTTTTTTTCCTCTCTTTAATTATTATTCATTCTTATGAATAAGAAAAGAGTCATAGTGACGACTTGCGTCAAAAAAAGAAAGTAGCTCTCATGCATCTTTTATTCTAGGAGATAAGAATCACTACGTCAACAGTGAATTTCTTGTTTCTTATCGACCCTATATATATAGATGCATTGCTTGTTTGTCGTTCATTGGATGACGATACTAAACAAAAAAAAAACAAATAGGAAAAAAGAAAAATGTTCTTCTTTTTTTTTCCGTATATTTATTTTTTCGTTAGTAGTACAAGTAGTTGGGTGATGTAAACAAATGAAAAAAAAAACGAGCAAACAAAAAGAACAAGATAGGAAGAAGAAGAAAGAAAAAAGGTCGTTCACTACATGAATATAAAGTGTGCCAGAACAAGTTAAACAGATTTAGTTTTAATGAAAAAGAAAAAAAAAAACCAAAACAAGAAACAATCGTTCCTGGGTAGAAAACAAAACACATAAAGACAAAATACAGAAAAAGTATGTATGTGTGGCACCTCCCATTAAGATTACACAGTTTCCTGAGACCAAGAGAAAAAGAAAAAGGAGGTATACAAAAATAAACTCTATTGTGTGCGTATCAATAAACAAAACCATCTCATTGTTTTCATTTCCCAACCTCCAACTTTAAATATTATTATCTTTTGCATAAGGAGGAAGTGTGTAACAACATAAACCTTTACAATAAGTGAAGTACGCACACAAACATACACAGTTATATATTATGTATACGAAGCAATTACAAATAATAGACGACAAAGCTGTACATAAGAATTTTGTTTTTAAGCAAAACAAAAAGAAAAAAAAAATCAAACCGCTGTATATAAGGCAAAGACAAGTTCCAAAAAGAACAGAAAGTGTTGCCGAGCAAGACCAAAAACACATTGCCTGAGCCGCCTATATACAACAACAAGAAACGAAAACCGAGTATGAGAGCGACCACTGTCACGCAATGACACAAAAAAACAAACAAACAAACAAACAAATCTAACTACAGAATAATAGAAGAGAAAGAAAGAAAAAAAAAACGAAAACTGCTTGTATGAAAAAAAAAGCAAAAAAAAAGAAAACAAATTAATGTTAGTTGTCATAATGTGACAAACCATTTGAATTTGATGTTGATGATGTTAATAATGGACCCAAATCGGAATTTTTACTTAAATGTTTTTCTAATTTTGTTATTATATGTTTACCATAAGTAAATTTTCGAAGTGATTGAATATGTGGACGAACTTTTTGTAAAAGAATTTTTCGTTGAGCTGGTTCAGCTACATCAATCATCTAATGAAAGATAAAATAAAAAATTTTCAATTTGAAACATAAGAAGTTTTATATTAGTAAACTGTAATAATAGATAGTTTCAATGTAAATAAATATGCAGATGTTTCATGTTTATTATCTTAATCCAAAGCATTCTAGCAAGAAAGATAAACTAGCAAGTTTTATAAATCTATAATAACACTCAAGATTATTAATATGCATGAAAATAATAATATATAACTATCGTATGTTCACAGAAAACAAAAAATCTTCATTTATGTTTTGAGTTGTGATCTGCATGCAAATCTCGAGTACTAATTTCTAGTCTAGTTGAAGAATATTTCATGTTAAAAAATTTGTTTTATCTAATAACACAAACAATTACAAATTCTGTATATTCAGATATGACTTTCTATGAACTTTATGAATAATCAATAATGTTCAAATATATAAACAGATTTCCCTATTGGTTTAAAAGTTAATTTTATTTGTGACAACATTCTATCTCATCATGTTGTTTGAAAATACACATAGGAATAGACACAATATTTTGTTATGTCAATATATTGTTTGAAAAAAAAAAGAGAAAAAAAATCATCTAGATGATGAGTAGATTGTCAAAAAAACAAGAAGAAGAAGCCATCCTATTCGTATGTGAAAAAAATGAATGAAAATTTTCTATGATTCTCATAACATCAACTAATTTTATACTAAGAACAAAATGACCTTAGATTACTCTACTTGAGTTTTTCCGGAAGTCAATCAAAAATGTATGATTAACAATTGTTTCATTAGATGAATCAGAATTAATGATTTCAAAAATATCTCAAACAACATTGCACGTCGTTTTAAATATTTAAAAATATAATTCCACCTTAATTAGTTTTCTTTTTTTTCCATCTGCATGTCTTAATAAGAAAAACGGTAATAGATTCAAATGATATAATATTTTGCAAACATCAACAATCTTTAATGGAAACAAATCGGTAAATAGATTGCTAAACTATCTGTATAAAATCAAGGATCTGAAATATAAACTGATGAAGGAATTCTTTCAACTGACTAATTACTTTCTTGCTGAAAGCTAGTGAATAGTATATCATCACCTATGTTCATTGTGAATATGACCTTGAAAAATTTCTTTAGGCCTTCATATTATAGTTTCTCAGAGTAATAAACATTTTGCTGGAATCGTTTTTGTTCTACTTAGAAAATGAATGATCTAAAAAAAGAATAAGTTAGTCAAAAAAAATCAACATATGAAGACATAAGAAGATTTGTCATAGTCATATTCGGAATCAGCATAATCGATAACTTACAGTACACTAGTTTTCAGCAAGAAAGCAATCAATCAATTGAAAATATTTCTTTGTCAATAGATTCTTTATCAATCAGAAAACTCTTCCGATACGCATCATAGACATATGTGTTGAAATATACAATAAAAATTTTTTTAAGTATATTTGTATATTTTTTTTTTGAATCTTACATTATGAGTTTTCAAATCTTAAATCCTATACTGATTTTAATAAATAAATAAAAGCTTACTTTTTGTACAACATAATTAGCAAATTGATCTTTCATCATAGTTAACAATGCACTATTAGGTCTAAAATATCATAGAAAAAAACAAAATATTTTTTTTCTAATTATTAAATATGTAAACTTTTCTTTTTTTCTTTTTACCCATCTCCGAATGAAACAACTTCATCAATAAGTTGTCGTTTTTCATCTCGTGTTGCATAAGTAACACATTTTTCAACTACATTACTATAAAAAAAAAGTGGTTATTATCAAATGAACTCAAAAAGAACAAGCGATTTTATTCTTTTCTTTACCTTGCAAATTTATGTTGTGATAAATGAAGTACACGTCCCATAATAGCATTTACAATACGACTTCGATCTTCAATTTTACCATGCTCTAATACATGTTGAATAACATAATTTCCTATAGAGAAAAAAAAATTTTATTTTCCTATCACGTCTGTTTTTTTTCTTTTTGATTTACCATATTGATCTTGAACAAGATTTTCTAATTCACTATGTAATATATCAAGTATAGGTCTTGTTTGTGATTCTTTACAATTTTCAAGTATACGTTGTATAACACGACAACCATATGGATGTGCTGATAATTGAAAAACTTGTTTTGTTACATCACGTATTATAAAATCAATATCATCTCCTAAACAACATTCAATACATTTTTGTATAACATGATTTCCATTTTGATCTTCAATACATTTAACAATATTTCCTTCTAATTCTCTTGCTATTTGTATTTGATATTCAGGTTGTAAAGTTTCAACTGCTTTTTGTATAACACGACAACCATACATTTGTAAAGCAAGTGATAAAACATTACCACGTATACTATGAGCTAAATATGCTTTATGTTCTGATGAACCAAATTCAAAAAATTTCTAAAAAAAGAAATCATTATTAATTTAAAAAAAGAAGCTATGCTATTAGCACAATCTCTACAGGATGCAATTGTTAAATACAGAAGAATTGTCCTATTCTGTCTATTTTAGGATAATTTTTTTGTTTACTTAATTCTCCGGAATTGCAATAAGGAAGTAAGTCATTTATTATTACAAGACTTTATTGATCTACAATCTCTCATTTGATATCAATAACGTCTGTTATAGTTTCGGTAGTTTTCTATTTATTTTAGATCATATTTCATTAAAGTATTATTATTATTATTATTATATTTACTTGTATAACATAATTGCCAAAAACATCTGTCATTAATTGTGGTGCACTTGATATAATTTCTTTAAAAACCATATCTTTTTCAGCATTTGTTGCACGTTCAAGTTTTTGTTGAATAAATCTTGAACCATGTTGATCCATTGAAAATTCAGCAAAATGTCCAATAACATCACGTAATTGTAAATTTGGCATACGACTATTACGAAAATCATCTAATAATTTACTTCGTGTTATAACAGAATCACGTCCAGAATTTGATATTGTATTATTACCACGCATATTATTATTTCCTGATCCACCAAAAACATTTGGTGCATAATAATTTGGCATAGGTCCACCAATACCACCAACACTACGACGTCCAGTATATACATCATTACCATTAAGCATGGCTTGTTGTGGTGGTACACCTGTTGGTCCTTGTTGATTTTGTGGTGGAAAATATCGTGCATTAAACATTCCATCAAATGTAGCTGTATTTGATGATGGTGGTGGTGTCATTGAAGTCATTAAATTATTATATGCAGGTGATGGAGGTAAACCACCAGGTAATTGTCCATGATATAATGGTGTTTGTTGTTGTTGCTGTTGTTGAATTGGTTTTGATAAACGAGGATCAGTAACAAGACGAGAAAAATCAGGTAATGGTGCATCACGTCGTTGAGTTGGAACAGTATAAACATCTAAAGAGATAATGTTCATAGATTGATATTTTTAAAGACAAAAAAATAAATGTATATATATATATATAT